AGGTGTTTCCAACCTTCAGCTTACCCTCCAATTCTGTCTCTGTTTCTGAAACCATTCAGGCATATAGTTTTAAATTCATGAAGGGCTGAGCACAAATGTGCAGAATGAGATTCAGCCTTTCTGGGCTGAGACACAGTGAGTGGTCAAGGTCAGGACCAATCATTTTTGTATCAAGAGAGTCAGATGCAAAAATATGCCCAGGTTTTCTTGTCCTCTGTGAGAAAAAGCCTTCAACGCATCAAGATGCCCAGTCAGAAAAACTGCTACGAAGCTCTTTATATTGTCACCAAAAAAAATCATAAAAAAGGCTTTTGTGCAAGAAAACTCACAAAACATACACATGGTGGTCATTCACACACAAAATTAAGGAACACAAAGTATTATGTGTAAAAAAAAGCCCTTTGTGTGTAAACAAAGAGATTGATTTGCAAAAATCAAATCCTTTAACATGAACACAAAACTTCAAAATCTATGAGAACACTTGAAATTTTACCTAGTAAGGAGAAAGCTTTGTTGTTGTTATTGTTGTTGTTTGCTACTATCCAGGTTCAGGGGCCATAGAAACTACTGAGTGCATTTGAGCAAGGCACTCTAGCTCGACCTTAAAAGAAGACAATAGCTGGAAGAACAGAGAGATCTTGGTACATATTGTTCTTGGATTCCAGGGGAAAGACAACATTGCCGCCCCCTTTTTTTTAATTTAGTGTGATATCAGTAAGCAAAACATCAACAAAAAAGGCTTTCAGACTTAGATATCTTTGTAGATTTTTTAAAAAGCTGCCATGGTGTTTTCTTTCTTCCCAGTTGCTCTTGATCTGCTCTCACACACTCTGCCAATATCTCCCTCCCGCCAACTCCAACATCCCCAGCATGGCAGGAAGCCAGATGGCACCCCATTAGGTCACATTTGCTTATTGTTTGGTAAACAGCAGTTTAATTCAAGTGCTGAGTTGACAGCTTGTCCTCAAAGACAATTTTCCCATTGCAGTGTTTCAAATGCCAGCCTTGCTTTCCAATATCATGTTATTTCAACTGCCTTAAAGGGATAAAGTTCCCTTTGATTAAAAACAGAGAGGAGGTGGGGGCAGCCAAGGGAACCGAGTTGTGTTTTGATGTTGACAATAGGAAGACGTAAACCAGGTAGCGCTGGAGTGGATTTTTCTGAGCACTTTGAGCCTGTCCTGAAGGTCTTCTAACATTTGACTTTTAGCCTTTCTTATAAACATCAAAACTGCTAGTCTCACTTCTTTGTTCCAAACTTGCTTGCAATTTGGAGGGACAGGTCTGTCAACATCAGTACCAGAGTATGGAAATATTACTGCGTTCTTTGGACTTCATTCACAGAATCCCCAGCCAGCATTTTCAATTTTGAGACATACAATCCGAATGGTAACTTTTCCAAGTCCTAGTCAATAACATTCAACACTCCCTCAAATAGCTTTTGGGATCCTTCAATGGGAGTTAGGTGAACATACAGTCAGGAACCTAATATAAGCAAGTTATTGTTGGCAAAGATCTTGCATTAGACCAAACTCCTAATGCCGACCCCATAGTACAGTTCTTCATGTTGTGGTGACCCCCAACCATAAAATTATTTTTGTTGCTACTTCATAATTGTAATTTGGTACTGTTATAAATTGTCAATATCAGATATGCAGGATGTATTCACTGGACCAAATTTAGCACAAATACCCAGCACACCCACATTTGAATATTGGAGGGGTGGGGGGATGATTTTGTCATTTGAGAGTCATAGTTGCTGGGCTTTATAGTTCACCTACTATCAGAAAGCATTCCGAACCCCACCAGCGATAGAATTGGGCCAAACTTCCCACACAGAACCCCCATGACTAACTGACAATACTGTGTTTTCTGATGGTCTTTGGCGACTCCTCTGACCTCATGACCACCCCAGGGGTCCCAACCTCCAGGTTTAGAAACACTGCATTAGACACCTAGCTACAATGTTATGGCTATTGTTTAACACTCCATTTGACCTCTGAAACCCTCTTCAAAAGCTACCAGGCATCCAGAGGAGCTCAGTCAGTTCTGAGTTGCTACTGAGTGGGATACTGAAGGATGATGTGACCAAACTTGTCCCATCTCCGAGCAATGCTGCAATGAAGAGTTGTGACAGATCAATGCAAAGGTCCCTGTTTCTGCTTTTCCAAAAATCACTCACTGGCAGAAGTGGGCTGGCTTTTAAGGTGGGTTTCAGGATCAATTGTGGTTGTGGCTATCGCAAGAGTGAGTCTTTTGCCAGCTGCTTATGTTTCCACAGCTACATTTGGTTTCAAAATGAGTTACTACAGTTACCCAGTGAAACAAGAGACTGGTTTATTGGTTATTTAGAAGAGGAAATTTCAGAAGGTTGTGCTTGTCACACAACCAGGGAACAAGAATCATCTACTAAAATTCCTTCCTCTACACAAGCAAGAAAGATACAATAGCCTTTTGGGGATTTCTACCCTAGCAACTCTCTATGGCAATCCTTTCCCATGCTCATAGAATCATAGAATTGGAAGAGACCTCATGGGCCATCCAGTCCAACCCCCTGCCAAGAAGCAGGAATATTGCATTCAAAGCACCCCTGACAGATGGCCATCCAGCCACTGTTTAAAAGCTTCCAAAGAAGGAGCCAACACCACACTCCAGGGCAGAGAGTTCCAATCCTGAACGGCTCTCACAGTCCAGAAGTTCTTCCTAATGTTCAGATGGAATCTCCTTTCTTGTAGTTTGAAGCCATTGTTCCGCGTCCTAGTCTCCAGGGAAGCAGAAAACAAGCCTGCTTCCTCCTCCCTGTGACTTCCTCTCACATATTTATACATGGCTATCCATACAGAAGACAATGAGTTCTGCCAATGTTTGGCATCCTCTACCACATTTGGAGCCAGCAGGAGAATTTATGGAAATAGAACAGCTCAGGTGTCCAATGGGGAGAAATGGTTAGAGGGCTCTCGAGTAGTAGCCAAGTGCCTGCCATTGCTACTCTACTATGTATCTGCCAACTGAGGTGTTGGTTTATTCTGCCTTGTCACAAAGCCAGCTCTGGTCATTTTCAGGCCTGTCAAATGCTAATGCAAAGTTCCAGTCATCTTCATGTATGTCTAGACAAATTCATTGATCCAAAAAAGGCAAATAAATAATGTACATCAGCTGTTTAACCCACTGCCCAGTAGGTTTGGATCCGGGGAGCAGCATGAGCTCCCGCTGTTAACCCCAACTTCTGCCAACCTAGCAGTTAGAAAATATGCAAATGTGAGTAGATCAATAGGTATCGTTCCAGCGGGAAGATAATGCTGCTCCATGTAGTCATGCCAGCCACATGACCTTGGAGGTGTCTACAGACAATAGCAGCTCTTCGGCTTAGAAATGGAGATGAGCACCAACCCCTAGAGTCATACACAACTGGACTTAATGTCAGGGGAACACCTTTACCCTTTACCTATCAGCAAAAATGTTGTAACAATAGTCTATGAATGCTGCACCTAGAGCTTATCTGTGCAAGATGTAAGATCAGGGCTTTTTTACCATTCTGTTTTTGTGCAATCTTTTATCACAGTAGATTGCTGGGTATTGAATCTGACACTTTCTACATGTGCATCATGTGTGATACCACCGAGCTGCAGCCTCTCCTAGTTTATTTTGGGAACTGTGTTTTTAAATGTCAAAAATGTACATCCCACCACCCTGCGCCGCATGTTCTGTAGATAGCAAATAACAGTTGGTGGCTGCCTGCTACATTGCCAGGAACAACAGGTTATACAACTTGATTAAGAAAGACTCAATTAAAGAAGGCCTTGTTCAGTTAGCAAAGATGGATGAACTTCCTAAGATGGCTCAGTTGGAATCAGCATTACAGATGGTCTCAACCCCTAGAGATAGTTTAGCAACCTCTTCTACCACTGACACATTCCAATTCCAAACTGTCTGAAGATTCAGCCATCTGCAACCAAGCAAAAAGTGTTAGCCATGGCAAAATCACCCAGGAAGAAAGAAAATCAGAAGTGTTAACTACATATTGTAGATCTATAGGTGGTTCAGAATGCAGTTCAGTTTATTTGGGGTTATTTTTAGTATCAACCCATAGATAAATACAAACAAACAACTCCTCAAGAAAGATAGTTTAAGAAGAAAAGAATGAAAATGCCCATGCTGTTACATCTATTGATTACATTTCTAGTAAACACACACACACACACACAATAGCAGTATTGCAAGACACAACCATATTACTCTGTATCAGTACTAAAAAGATCTGGTAGCACACTTGAGATGAACTGAGATAAAGACAATTGCAGCATACGCTTTCATAGACTGATGCATTTGATGAAGTAGACCCAGTCTGTGAAAGCTTATTCTACAACTTCTTTCAGTTAGATGCTACAAAATCCCTTTCTACACAAAATGATAACAATCACTTTATAATCTACTAGCCGTCCCTTGCCACGCGTTGCTGTGGCCCAGTCTGGTGATCTGGAAAATAAAGTAATGAGAAAGTGTTGGTTTCTAATATATGTAATGTCTTTATGCTTGTGGGTAAACAGTATTTTTTTACTGTTTCTTTGTCAGTGTTGATGTGGAGATTGTGTGGTTTGCCTACTCTGGAACATGCAACATAGAATTGTCCTTCTTTAGGGGTCCCTTTCAAATCTATGATACTATGTGTGTGTGTGAATCATATATATCCATCTATATAAATGGCTGGATGGCTCTTTGTCAGGAGGGCTTTGATTACATTTTCTTGCCCTGGTGAAGGGAGTTGGACTGGATGACCTTAAGTATTTTCTGTTTGACATGCAAACTACTCAAAGGTGTTTTAGTAACATGAAGAAAACTGAGAAAGACGACTCCTTTCTTGAGCTTTTATTTTTATATAATCCTATATGCCTAATACAGTTTGGTTTTCATATTTTAAAAAACTTGGGTGAAATGCTTCTAGTTGGTGCCCTGTACCATTTTAACATGGTCCTGTTGTTTTCTTTCTTGTGTCCTTACAGATGGGCCAAAAAGGGACACATTATAAAGGAAGCATCTGGTGACACTTTTGAGGCCATAGTTGACCACACCTATTTTTTTGAACCAGTATCCTGTGAGGTGACCAATGCTTTGGGAAGCACTAACATCAGCAGGACAGTAGATGTTTACTGTAAGTATGATTCAGCTCTTACACCATTGGGACCCCTTGTCCTTCAAAGATCCTTTCTGAGATGGATCTCTCATTACAGGATAGCCTTCTCCTATATAATCTAAACCTTTTCTGTGGAACATTTACTCAAACCAGCCAGAACCCAACTGGCAACCGTCACCCAGCAACCTTTTCATTGGTTGCCCCAAAACTGTGGAATGACCTGCCAGAAGAGCTCTGACAGCTAAATGAATTGTCAGAAATCAAGACAAAATTCTTGTAAGCCGCTCCAAGCCCCAGGGGAGTGGCGGCATATAAGTTCGAATTATTAAATAAATAAAATTGAAGACCTATCTAGGTCTACCCAGTCATTTTAAAATTTACATTGTATTTGTACTGTCTTTTAACCTTGCACTATATATTTTAATATCTGTATTTTATGTTGGTGTGTTTCGATGTATGTATTTTATCTTAAATACTTAATGGGGATGCATTTTAACTGAGTTATGCCCTGTCTTGAGATGCGAGGAGAGGCAGGTAACAAATAAAATCTGTTATTATCATTATTTATTACAGTTGGACCTCGCATGATGTCAGAACCACAATCCCTCCTCGTTGACCTTGGATCAGATGCGGTATTTAATTGTGCATGGATTGGAAACCCATCCCTGACCATAGTTTGGATGAAGCGGGGCTCTGGTGTGGTAAGTATGCTAGGCATTGACTGGACATAGGGAAGCATGGGGAGTTGTGTGCTGGCAGTGAGAGGTCATTCAGCTGCACAGAATGGCTGCAGTTCACATCACAGCTCTTCTTTTCATTGATTGCCTAGAGAAGTATTTCTCAAACTGTGATCCTCCAGATGTTTTGGACTTCAACTCACACAGTTCCTAACAGCTGGTAGGAGTTGTGGCTGGGTTTCTGGAAGCTGAAGTCCAAACCAGCTGGAGGAGCAAAGTTTGAGAGACACTGGCCTAAATTATGGTGGCATTTAGGAGTCTTATTCATTATGTATCAAGATAAATATAGCAATGGGTGACATTTTATGTGATTCAGCAGAGCGTAGTAGCTGATTACTCAGTGAGCTTAGACTTTCTGTTACAGCCATTGCAGGTCACCATGGCCATTTTGTGCTAGGAAAGAGGTTGGAAAAGTGTTTGGTTATGTTCCTGTAGCCAAATGTGAGATGATTATATCATTTTGCATCTTTGATTGTGCATTTAGCAGGGGGTTGGACTAGATGGCCCACGTGTCCCCTTCCAACTCTATTATTCTCTGTTTCTATCTGCTGAGGTCCACTGCATACTCCATTTCACATCTTTCTACAGGGACATAACCATACACTTCTCTGACTCCCCACTCCCAATTCTCTACCAGGCATGAAATGACTGTGAGGAGGGCTGCTGCTTCTCTACAGTGAAGCAGGGGTTTGGTTCTCTACAGTGAGGCAGGCCTCGTCTACACTGCCATAAAATCCAGATTATCAAAGATAATCGGAGCACCTGATGAACCAGCCTGGACACAGCATATTATTTGAGAACACAGAAATGCTGGACCACACCAACAACCACCATGTCAGACTACACAGAGAAGCCATTGAAATCCACAAGCATGTGGACAATTTCAGCAGAAAGGAAGAGACCATGAAAATGAACAAAATCTGGCTACCAATATTAAAAAACTCTAAAATTACAACAGCAAAACAGCAGAGAGGAAACAACCAGGCACATCTTAACACCTCTCAACAAACGATTTTCCCAGGCTCAGCCAGGCCTTCAAATGCTAATGAAGGTGGTCAGTTGAAACATTCACACCTAGCTCCAGCAGAGAAGAGCTCTTTGCCCCACCCCAGCCATTCCACAGATATATAAACCCATTGTCCTAATTCCAACAGACCTCACTACCTCTGAGGATGCTTGCCATAGATGCAGGCGAAATGTCAGGAGAAATGCCTCTAGAACATGGCCCTATAGCCTGAAAAAAACCACAAGAACCTAGTTATCAAAGATAATCCACATTATCTGCTTTGGACTGAATTATATGAGTCTACATTGCCATATAATCTGATTCAAAGCAGATAATCTGGATTTTGTATGGCAGTGAGAAGGGACCATAGAAAGAGGAAGGAAATTACCAACCTTGACATCAGCCAGTAAAAGACATAACACAAATATGAGAACAACTTATACTAGTGCATACCAGTAACAAAATGCCAGCCTATAGTTAACATTTTGATCAGGTCCTTTAAAATGCATTAGGTAATCTTCTAATTTATAATTTATATGTTTAAATCTCATTTCATCTGTCCTTAAGTAGTTTACTATAAATTTAAAAAATCATGGAGTTGGAAGGGATTTCAAAGGTTGTCTAATTTAACACTTGCCTCCAACCTTTGCTAATTTTGCACTAGATGGCCTGTTTTGCTGTCATATTGCAAATATCACTGTGTAATTGTGCCTAATTTTTGTGTATATCCCCTCTGTGATATCTTGAGTATCCTGGTTAAGTCTTTCCTTCAGGAGAAACAATTAGTACATTTTACATCGTATGCAGTCTATTTTTAACAGATATTTCAAAATGGTATTCCCCCCGAGGATTGAAAAATGTCAGTTCCTTAAATCCATTGCTAGCTTTCAGTATGCCTTATTTTGTGATGAATTACAGAAAGGGGCTTAATTTGCAGATCAGCTTGTATCTCTGAAGAAATGCCGTTCTGGAAAGAAAACTGAATTAACAACATTGGATGTCCTTTTAATGTCGAGTTTAGTTTCAGCGATTAACTGTCAGATGTTTGGAGCCAGTTATAATCTATTTGGGGAGTTAAAACATACCAAATTTCTTCAACCTTTCCAACTTGATCACTCATACACATTTGGTTAGAACCAAAAAAAGTGGTAATTGCTAATAATATTATAAGCTCAGTAAAAGAGATAGGTACAGCGCATTACTACATATAAGATGATGTTATTTGAGCACCCAGGTATAGACTATGTGAATAAGCACCGAGTAATGGCAAAGTTGGTATCATTCAGCAGGATCTCAAATTTGCTCATAGGATTAATCCTCTAATCACGTCATGTTTTTATCTGTATATGTAATAGCCATGGTGCTAAACTTGTCTTAGGAATAAGGTTCAGCACCATGGATAGTTCAAAGAGATAAAGCACGCTGCTAACATGGAAATCACCAGAATTAGTTCGTTATTACAGTATTCACATCTCCTCCTAGTATCTTGAGATTTCAGGGTACTTAGGCGATCCCTCATTGTCCAAGTATGATGGCCTTTTAAGTGTAGTGTCTTGGCGGTGGATACATAAGCGACTATAGAGCCCTATTCTTGATCCACATGCTCTTCCACTGTGAAGACATTGGTTTCCAGGTGGAAGGCAGTTCAGATCAGGGTTGGCTTGATGTGCCTTCCTCTTGGCACATTTCTCCCTTTTGCCCTTCTTTGAATGTATAGAATCATAGAATTGGAAGAGACCTCGTGGGCCGTCCAGTCCAACCCTGCCAAGAAGCACGAATATTGCATTCAAAGCACCTCTGACAGATGGCCATCCAGCCTCTGTTTAAAAGCTTCCAAAGAAGGAGCCTCCACCACACTCCGGGGCAGAGAGTTCCACTGCTGAACGGCTCTCACAGTCAGGAAGGTCTTCCTCATGTTCAGATGGAATCTCCTTTGTTGTAGTTTGAAGCCATTGTTCCGTGTCCTAGTCTCCAGGGAAGTAGAAAGCAAGCTTGTTCCCTCTTCCCTGTGACTTCCTCTCACGTATTTATACATGGCTGTCATATCTCCTCTCAGCCTTCTCTTCTTCAGGCTAAACATGCCCAGCTCTTTAAGCCGCTCCTCATAGAACTTCTCCAGACCCTTGATCATTTTAGTCACCCTCCTCTGGACACATTCCAGCTTGTCAATATCCCTTTTCAATTGTGGTGCCCAGAATTGGACACAGTATTCCAGGTGTGGTCTAACCAAAGCAGAATAGAGGGGTAGCATGACTTCCCTAGATCTAGATACTATACTCCTTTTGATGCAGGCCAAAATCCCATTGGCTTTTTTTGCCGCCACATGACATTGTTGGCTCATGTTCAACTTGCTGTCCACAAGGACTCTTTTTCACAAGTACTGCTCTTGAGCCAGGCATTGTCCCCCATTCTGTATCTTTGCATTTCATTTTTTCTGCCTAAGTGGATTGTCTTGCATTTGTCACTGTTGAACTTCATTTTGTTAGTTTTGGCCCATCTCTCTAATCTGTCAAGATTGTTTTGAATTCTGCTCCTGTCCTCTGGAATATTGTCTGTCCCTCCCAAATTGGTGTCATCTGCAAACTTGATGATCATGCCTTCTAACCCTTCATCTAAGTCATTAATAAAGATGTTAAAGGGCCCAGGACAGAACCCTGCTGATGGCACTCCAGTCCACAACACTGCTGGTCACAGCTGACCTCCAGTTAGAGTGATCAAGGGCCAGTTCTCGGTGTCTATGCCACAGTATTTCAGGGTAGCTACAAGTAACAAAACAATGTCAAACAACTATCAAACAATTTAATCTCCAGCCTGGCAGGATCTACACTCAACAAATAAATAAAAATAGATCTAACAATGTATAGAAATCCCGTGGATCAAAATCATAATCATGATCACTGGGTTCCTGAAACTTAAATAGCCAGGGGTCAATTTCATCACTAAAATGAGACCAGCAGCATCACCATTTGAACCTCCAAGGGCAAAGCACTCCACGGCAGAGAAATCACAACAGAGAAGGCTGCTGTGCAAAAATGATTGTATAGAGAAAAGCACCAGTTTTCTTATGCATAAGTAAGGTTGGCATTCTGCATTGCATTATGTATTCATAACCTGGAGTTACGGATCCGTGACTGTTCTATATTCAGTAACAGTATGTAGTCACAATTGAGGCACTATTGCCTTGATTGGAGACGTCCCCCAGCTAACCTTAACAACCAGCGGCCACATCAGGTGAAGGAGGAGTTTGTACCTGAACAAGGTATAAAGGAGATTATGCTTCCAACCCCTTTCCACAGCAAGTGAGGCTGCGGCAATCAAAAGCGGGGCCCTTTTGCAATTTCTTATCACAATCTCACCTGGAAGGGAGCTGAAAACATCCTCTTCCTTGTACCTCAGTCAGCAGCCAAACAGATCCCTTTGGTGTGATCTGTCTACTGGCTGTTAAATTGGACTTGGGAAATCAGGCCAAGAGACATTCATTAGTTATGCATTGATAACTAAGCAATTCAAATAGACTATTTGTGCCTGTTTTCTGTGCAAAAAGAAAAAAAATAGTTTTGACATAGAAATCCCCATTTCATGGTTTTTGATCACAAAAAATATGTGTTTTCTCCCTGGAGAATAATTCTTGCGCCACACTTTGGGACATATGGGGAGAGTATTGTGGAGGTATATTAATTTTCTACTGTAGTGAGGATAGAACTGCTTTAATTATTCATCCATTCATGCAAGGACCAAACATCCCTAGTATACATCTGTGCCAATAGATGCACAGATTTCCATAAAATTTAAAAGTTCTTGCAACCAAGTATGAAACAAGAACAAGAAGTAAACGCAAGTGGGGTTGAGAGCAATGGAGCAAAATCAAAACTGAGAAATTTTTACGTCCCCGATGATTTACAGAGACTCTGATTCTGGGCTTGGCAAACAAACAAGTATATATTTGATTTCTGTGTGT